TAGATTCATCAGAATAATTACTTACTCAGTAAAATTCTCCTAGTCTCAGTTGTGTGTTTAGGATCTTGATTAGGTTTCTAGTAACTAGTCAATGATGTTTCTCATATCACTGAGACATAGTCATGGTTGATACAACAGGTACAAACGATGAGTCGTGTCTGTACATGACGTTGTGATATAGTCATGATCGTCTGAACAATATCAACTCATGAATGAATCATGTCTCTACATGACAAGGAGCCCCTTTTCAGTTGCCCAAGTTAAGAGGGATTCACCGCATGCATCGTTTCGCACTGCGGGGTCCCAAAGCGAATGACGGATGTTGAAGTCTTCTGCTAAGATATCTGGGGATTGTGTAAGAGACAACAGACTGTCAAGTCCTGCTCCTGCTTCCACAGAACCAGTTGGGGCATTGTATAGGTTGAAAATTTCTACTTGGCGTTTGCTCTTCCGTCGGATACAGACTTGGAGCAAATCTCGGTAGTGTGTAGCTGACTGGAAAGGGGATATACCAACACCTTTGCGGGTGTAGGTCATGACTCGGGGTCTGGCTGTCTACTTGAGAGTTGGGGTAAAAGTAAAAAAACTTGGATGTGTTTTAGTAGTTTTGCGTGAATAGTCGGAAAAGATCCATGGTTCCTGGATTAGCACGATATCTGCACCTGCTTGATAGGAAAGTTCAAGAGCCGTGTCATGAGCTGGCCCACGTTTTCCAACACTCACCTGGAGTACACAGAGACCAGCAGATTTCTGCTCTCTGCGTCGACGACCTCGGGTCATCATATTTGTTCTTCCATGGTGATCAGGGGGGCGCGTCTAGATCCAGATTCAACTATAGCTGCTGAGGCAACCGAGGTCGCTTCGGGCACAGCTTTTGTTTGTAGAGTTTCCATCGTCCCTGTTGGTTGAAGTGGGAGTGAAGGTAGGTTTATCGCGGCCCAGGCCCTGTGACCTTCTTGCCGCATAGCCCGTAATCTATTTTTGTCCGGTCGTACGAATACTCCGTCGACACGTAGTGAGCGAGCTGGGCATCCTAGAGATGATGCTGGGTGAGGTCCGGCGCAATTTAGGCACTTAACAGGAGTACTACAAGGACCATTGTGGGAATCTGTGACACAGATACCGCAGCGAGCGTGCCGGTTACATGCATTTATATTGTGATAGTCACGGCACCTGGGGCATACCTGCAGCTGGGGTCTATTGTCGAGAGCCTTTAGTCTTGTGGCTCTAGCAAAGAGACGGAGATGTGTTGGGAGCTTTGTAGTGGCGGAGGCCGAGACTACAAGACGAAGAGTCCCATCTCCCTCAGGAGAGGCTAAGGATCGCCGAGTCCAGTTCATTGAATAGACTTTGGAGGTGTCAACATTTGCAGACGCGAGTTCTTGTCTTATATCTTCGTCTGTGAGCGGCTCAAGAACTCCGGATGCATCGTATCCATATTTTGGAACCAGTCCAAGTAGAAAGTTTAGCCTTTTCTCTTGTCGTCTTACCTGTACATTTCCAGTAATCGGTTGAAGGGCTTGAGCGGCCTGTAGCAGCTCTGGAGCTTGGCTCGCCGAGGGGGCTACTAGGGTAATGCCGGATGGGACGTTTCGAATGTCTTTTATAAGTTCTGGCCGTTGTAGTAACCCTCGGAGCCTTGAGCGGACAAGAAGTGTGTCCTAAGATCGAAGAGGGTGGTCAGTAGGGAGGCGAATAATTACCCTGTTGTCAGTCTTCGGAAATTTTGCTCGGTTTCTGGCCTTTTTAGGTAGATTTTTCGCTGACGGACCAGAATTTAGGGCTGGCCGTGGTGCGCTAGCCTTTGCTACATTGGCGTACGTAAGCTTTGTGGCTTTTGAGGTGGGTGGCTCTCGTGTTATCATTGCCTTGGGTTGTGACCGAGTTGTTGGTTGTAGGCTTGTAGGCACGTTTTCAAAAACAGGGAGTCCTGCTATAACTCGAGCAGCGCTACGCGTGACGACCGCTCTTAGGTCTGCTGCGATTGCAGGGGGTAGAAAGCGAAGATGCTCGAGCCCCGCATTCTGCCAGGCCAGAAGTGCAGCTGCGACTTCATTAGTTTCTGCCGATGATGGGGATTGGATCACTCTTAAAAGCGGAATTGTCGTCCCGCTGTGTTGTTAAGATTACAGGCCTCATGAGAAGGAGAGGCGTGTATTGAATGCGCAAGCCCTTGTCTTGCTTCGGGTGGCTTAGGGACCTTTGAGGAGGCGCCGCTGTTAGCTTTTGAAGCCCGGGTTTGGGGAGCGAGGGCATAGTCTAAGTCAGAGTGTGAGCTTTCTTCGTCAGAGTACTCTGGCATGAGCTCGTCTGTGGAGTCCATGCTTATATTTTCTTCTTGTATGTCAGGTAGTTTTTCCCGGAGAGCCGCTATCAATGCTTCTTCACGGCCGGTTGAGAGTGAGGAGCCTTTCTTTACGCGTTTAGAGGCGCGGGTGGGTATGCGGGAGGTTGGTCCCCGAGACAGTGTGACGGGGTTTTTTTGCCTCCCGGGCGGTATCTTTGTATGTCGTATTTCAGATATAGATCGAGTGAAGAATTTGATGCTGATGTGTTTGAAAAATTGAATGTGATCAGTGTTATGTGATGTGGGTTATTAGATTGATACCTGAGCGTGTCGCATAGTAGTCATACATGCGACTCAAGTAGCATTGATACGCTGAGCCTCAGCCCCAAAATGATGATACAAATCAACTTTTATATGCTAGATCCTGTATGGCTAGCGTGGTTGGAAAATGGGGAATTTACCTGTAGATATATAAAGACGTTGTAGCCCTCTGATAGATGGTACAAGACTTCTATCAAGTTATATCGGAATCAATTATAGCCTCTCATTGAGCAATCTCATAAATTATTTCCAATGTCTGTGATAACAGACATACATATAGAAATTCGACATCAAGTTTAAAGTCGATAAGTTTCCTTTAATGATTGGTGGGTTTCCCAATTCAAGTTCACCAGGCGGTCGTGATATCGGAGGATATTGTTATTGCTAAATAGCTGAATACAACATGAAAAAAATATGAAAAAAATATTTAGGAGGTACCAAGCTGCGGGGCCTTGACCATAGTAACAAGCTTGAGGAGTATAGGGTGCCTAAAGGGTTGGAAGGTGCGGTGGTACACCATTCAGGCCGTTGTACCAAATACAATCTGGATAGCTTGAACACCAACCCCATTTGAGACAGGAGAAAGCTGGTTCGAATCTAGTAAAGTCCACATACCACTATCTCTCGTAGTGATATTGTATTTGTGTGATGATAAAAGAATACTCGGATAACCATAGGTTTTTTCACGCTTTTCCCTATTGTGGGTATGCACGGAAGAGGTTATACGCCATAAGGGTTAACCTTAAGTGGTATCTGCAAATGAAATCTGAGTGTGAGTGCTCTAAACGTCATATTGAGTCATCCTACTTAATATACATATCTTCCGATAAAACCTGCATGGGCCTCAAGGCGCCAATTCAGGATCATGAATTATTTATTTATAGGGCACCCAAAAGTTATCAATAATGGCTTAAAACTATTTTAAAGACAAAAACTATTCTGAATGAAGCCCACAGACTCATCTCCTAATCAAAGTGGACACTGAGAAGATTTGTCACCTGAGATATGTGGTGGAAGATGGAACGTGAAGAGGCGCTTACCTTGGATCAAGTATGGAGGGACCTTCTGTTTTTCTGGTTTGATTTGCTGATTTCGTTATCTGCCTTGTTTTTTATGGCGATTTATGTCCTCACTTCGATGAGGATTCCCAATCGTTTTCGCCGTCTGTATCGTCTTCATCCATAAGCACATCCCCCCATCAGCATTATCATGAAGCTAACCACGATCAGATCAGATGGTAGGGTCGGAGCCCTACTCATTACCAACCCTTGATCATGGAGGAGGAGCCATCTAATGAGTTTCCGGAGCGTACCCAGCACCCGATACGGAGATGATGGAATGGATCAAGTCAGCCTCGCCTGGCTGGGGCTGCAGGTTTTTTGAGACTTTTTCCCGCGCAAGCAGTTTCCATTGCTACAATTTAATTATTTTTTGGATGGATGGTTCCGTGGAAAAGGTGGCCGAATTCCACGGGTAAAAACTGAGCTGAATGGCTATTCACCACGGGCAATGTATCAGTGATCTTTTAAGTAAAAAAGAGGCAAGGAGCACTGTACAAGGTGTGGCCTGGGACAGAGAGGAGCTCAATGTACCAGATAGTCATAAACTCAAGCAGTACAATAAACAAACAACCTTTTGGAAATTTACGCACTTGGAATGATTTAGGTCTATGCGTAACAATCTATGCAGGCTCCACCGGTCCTGTGCTTACAATTGATTCGGAGCTTTATCCTGGGACCTATACGTTACAAAAAGAGCTCCCAACTACCCTAGTATTCAACCTGAGTGTAGCTTGTTATGGCTATACAGCCAAATACAATATTTGAAAAAAAAATAAGTTGCAAATTTCTCCAGTTCCAAGAACTCTACAATTCATAATAAGAAGCCTTCAACCACACTCGAAAACTGCGCAAAGTTTAAGAGAAATTTCCAACAAGCCATACCACAGAAGTAAAAATGAGCCCTTTCAGAAATCATCAATTCGACGCTAATTTAATCCTTTCAGAAAGAATAAGTTAGTAGAATCGTTGGACTTGGTAACTTCGATCCATGCCCAAGGTTCCCAATTGACTAGCACGATAATTTCTAAATAAAATAAATATCACAAAGGCAAATAAAATCACCTTACCAAATAACAAATATTCTTCTAAGAGAGGCCGGAAAGAAAAACTCTGTTGCCGAATACAGAGTGTTATGAATAAGTAGATGAAGAAATATATTCCGTTTTACTATAATTTCAAGATATTCCCTAAGTAAGCATGAGAAAAGTAGTTCCTGTTAGATTAAAGTCCATTCTCCAAGAGTATTGAACAAATTAGCGGTTAAGAAACAACTTTGTAGATGACTCCCTAACTCCCGAATGCCGCCGCGTACCCGTATACTTGGCTATCCTTCACAGTATACCCATCCGCGATCCCCATCCGCTTTCCTTCGAATTAACTACTATTTGATAAGGAAAAGGATTACTCTCGCTAGTCGTTATAGGTGGAATATGATCTTTCTCGCGGTTTACGACTGTAACTATCTTCATCGCAGCTTTTAACAGCATTTGCTCCATAGCCTGCCTAACTTTTGCTCTCTCTACAATGGCATGTCAGTTAATGTCAAATTCTAAAGTTGATTAACCTGCCAGGTTCTGTTTGGGGCGTAGCAAGTGTGACGTCAAGAGTCCATTGCTCCCAGCATACTTCCTCTTCTCCTTTTGTAAACCACGCTTTTCTACGTTTCTTTTCGAAGAATTGAACAAAAATCATGCCCCGTACTCCCCCATTCCGGCTCGCAGTATCGCTCTTTGTGTCCAGCTGTTTGATAAGGGCCGCAGTCCGCTGGTCGATTAAAGTTTCCAATTCCACATCGTCAACAAAGGGCAATGTCAAGTCAAGAACATCACGAGTTTTTGGTCGTAGTGATGAAAAGAATCGGTGAAAAAATACAGTGTGGAGAATACCTACACTCAAGAATATCGTCGTCAGCTGTATGTTGGGATGTTGGGGTAAAATAAGGAGGGGATATCAGACCCCGCACTACATCTTTCACTGAGCTCGGATCGGCGAAAACCTCTATTATGTATTCAGGTAGCCGATGCTGATCCATAGAGTGATCGCAGAGTTTTCTTACAGTCTGAACAGACCAGGCTGTTTGAGCGAAAACTAGGTTGGGTGAAGCATGGGATAGTTGTGGTAATTGCCAAGTCGTTGATTTACCGGGGAAGCTTGGGCTAAAGGTTAGTGGTGGACGTAGCGGTCCGGAACCTCAACAATCAATTTTCTTCCATTCTTGCCAATTCTCTACCTCGGTTAACACTAAGGGCATTATACCAAACCTACATTCCTAGCAGCGTGATGCCCCTCTTGGAACCGGCATCTCCTAAATCATGATTGCCGCATCGCGAAGATGGCTCAAACGATACAGAACTCCCATTGCAATCGGAGCTAGCATCGTTGGGCTTGGGTATGTGGCCACGCAATACCTGGTAGGGAAGGTTTTAGATGCGCGAGAACGCATGAATAGTGAGCGTATTGCCAGAGAAAAGTATTATTTCCCATGAAATTTGAAATAAAATAGTACTGATTACAATAGTTTGCGCCGTCGTTTTCAACAGAACCAAGAAGATAGTACATTCACTGTGCTAGCTCTCTTGCCAACAGTTACTGAAAACATCATTTCGGAACTAAAGACTGAGAATATTACAACCGAGCTTCAACTGCAAAGAGCTGCAAAGACAGCTCGAAATAATGAGGTCCCTCAAAGCGAGCTTCCGAGTGAAATGCCGAGCGTGACCGATGAAGACGGAGGGAGTATGACAAGTCTTCATAGCGAGAGTGGAATACACGCCAGCCAAATAGGACTGCCACCTGAGAGCAGTTCAGTTCAAGGGCCTCAAGACGGGGGCGAAATGGTGCAGAAAGCCAGAAGAAATAAGTTACGGCTCTGGAATGATCTAAAGATTTCTGCTATTACCCGTTCATTTACTTTAATTTACACGCTCGCTCTACTAACCCTCCTTACTCGCATACAACTAAACCTTCTCGGTCGACGAAGCTACCTTGCAAGCGTATTTGCACTGGCCTCAAACGGGCAAAACCACGTTACCATCAACCTAGAAAATAATGACGACGATAATTCTAATCAGGCTTACGGTAACGATTCTGAGGTCAGTAGACGTTACCTAACCTTTAGTTGGTGGCTACTTCATCGAGGCTGGAAAGATGTAATGCACAAAGTGGAAGCTGCGGTTAACGAGGTATTCGGAGCCATGAATATTAGAGATGACTTAACAATGGCTAAATTTTCTCAACTAACGCTTGAAGTCCGGAAGAAAATCGAAGGTGCCACAGAAGCCAAGAGACACGAAAGTAAGTGGCTAGAAAACTTACTACCGCCCCAGGATCAGGAAGATTTTGTGCTCAGGGAATCGGGGACGGCAACTTTAGAAGCTAGTCCGGATTCAACTTCATCTCCTGCCTCCTCAACAATACTCCGGCGACTCCTCGATGAGACCTCAGACTTAATTGATACTCCTCCATTTACACACGTCTTGACACTCCTGCTAGACGCCGGTTTCTCGACCCTTGTAGATCAGAAGATATCTCAACAAGTCTACAAGGTTCCATCTACTCCTCAAGTACCAGATCAAAAAGTTCAAGAAATCCTAGATACGAAACTAGTCAAATTACCTATTCTCCTAGCCGTGCTAACTAGACAAGCTTACTCTATTGGTAGCGGCGAATCCAACGAGTATTTACAATCTATGGACCAAGTCAGTGATTTAGAAGCATTTGCTGCAGTCGTCTATTCGAGTAACTGGGAGAACGAGGTTGTTTCTTCGAACTCCGAAGAAAAAAACCAGCATGAAGATCTTGTAATCGTTCCTGCGGATGTCGGCTCTGACTTTGTTTTGGATAATGACACGAAAGCTGTATTTGAAAGTTCTTGGGATAAGGTCATTGAGGGCTCAGAAGAAAAGTAACATCACTGTGAACTTTCAGGTTTATCGAATTCAGGATTTGGTGTGGAGAACCATCGAGTTAAGTTGGGGTTGAAAATCATGTAAAATATGTTCATGGAATGTCAAAACTCATAGAAAGTAATTGTAATTTCTCTCTTAATTTTACTTGCCTAAATCTTTATTCCCACTGTTGGATACTTAGTCCACTAACATTAGGAGCGTACGACTCGTCTGTCTATGGTAGAAAAGTAAAATTTTTATGATACTCCCTTGATGAATTGATCCAAAGCTAGCTCAAATAGCTCATTAGCTACACCCTCTCCGCCTTTGTGTTCGACGGGACTAAGTGGATTTTTAACCACTGCGTGAGATCATGTATTAGCAGGTGAATAACACTGCTGCCACAATTATTCAACTCACCAAACTCGATGTAAAGATTGACATAAATTTGATGCAGAACATTTCGCATGCTCAGCATTGATATATCTGTAAGCATAACAAATTTGAGACTGGTAAGGGTCTCGTAGTAGTGCAGCTTGTATTGGCCAGTGCGATAACTAATGAAGCTATCGTCGGGCCCACCAAGTTTACGTACCATGTTGCGCAGCGAGAAAATTGTACCGAAAATAAGCTTAGCATCATCTTTAGCTGAGAGGCGCGCTGGGCGCGCGCGGGCTGGGTCTGGATTACTGAGAGTAACGGCGGCAGTGGAAAGGCCGCGCGCGCCTGGGTTACTGGTACTCGGCTTCGCCCGATTCTGGCGCACCCAGAGACGCGAGTAGATGCACTCGGCTAGATTCAGCGTTAGTGAAGGCTATTTAACAGAGCAGTGGATGTCAATGTAGGAGAGGAAGAACGCCGTTCATACTGTGTCGATCAAAAATGTAGAAGCTATACACAACCATTTTCAGGCGCCCTGCTAAGCTGCAGTCGGGTCGAGCGAGAGAGGGTCTTCGGACGAGAATCTTGAGGCAAGAGCGAGACCTGCAGGCTCTTTGGGCCGAATCGAACCTGTTCAATAACCAGAGTCATGGACCTGTTGGGATGCTGGCTGTGGCCATGGGGAGCGTGGTGTTGATTTTGCACGTAAACGGTCTAGCTCTAATGAGAGAAATTTTACCTCAGGCAACTTTAGGGCAGCACTCAGGTCTTCGGCCCCTTAGCCTGTCTCAACCCGAGACAACCAAAAAAGATAGATTGACAGATCAAATGTTTCATGGCCGTATTGTCTGGCAATGTGGCCGGTGGACAGAAATCTCTGCCACTAACCACCCGATAAGGCCCGAAAGAAGAGAACGCCCCACCCCACCAGCGCGAGACTGATTGAGAGTAAAGATTTTGATGAATGCATCGAAAAGTTTGGTCATGTCATACTCAAATCCACCATGGCGGCACACAAGATCCAGGAGTGATGGTTGTGGAATTAAAAAATCACTAAACGCATGCAGCAGGTTTAACGAGAGCGAAGATGGCAATTCCGAACATTACGTCAATCAATACTTGATCAAGAGCGAAATTGGACGTGGTAGTTTTGGTGCGGTACACTTGGCTATAGATCAAAATGGCATTGAATTTGTGGGGAGACTCCAATAATCCTTGAGGAACGAGTTCTGATGTCTACCATAGGCCATGAAGGAATTTTCAAAGTCAAGACTCAAGAAAAGAGCTCTATCAGCTATCATGAGACAGGTACACCCTGATCGGGAGGGACTTTCCAACACTACAATATGCCCTGAGCCTACTATATCCATCCGTCGGAACACGGTAGCAAACCTCTATGACGCAAACAACTTAAATGATCCTACTCATCTCATCAGTGAAGAGGTTGCCATCATGGAAAAACTAAACCATCCCAATTTAGTTAAACTCGTTGAGATCCTCAATGATCCTGAGGATGACTCACTGTACATGGTGCTTGAATTGTGCAGTAAAGGCGTGCTGATGCAGGTTGGAATAGGAGAGAAAGTAACTCCGCATTCCAAGGAGAAATGTAGACGTTGGTTCAGAGATCTGGTCATGGCAATAGAGTACTGTACGTTTCAGAATCTCTCCTTCCACCATCTTCTTAGCTTTCACTAGTACACGAACGCGGGATTTTGCATCGGGACATCAAACCGGACAATCTTCTCTTGACCGAGAATGACACGTTAAAAGTTGTGGATTTTGGGGTGTCCGAGATGTTTGACAAAGGCTCGGAAATGATGACATCTAAATCCACAGGCTCTCCCGCCTTCATCCCACCCGAGCTCTGCGTCCCCAAACACGGAAAAGTCTCTGGTAAAGCTGTCGATATTTGGTCTATGGGTATCTCCCTTTACTGTCTTAGATTCGGTCGTCTTCCTTTCGAGCACGCTGGGATTTTTGACTTGTTTGAGGCAATTAGAAACGATGAACCCCAACTCAGTTCGGATCCAGAGGAATCTCAGTTCAATGATTTGATGAGAAAAATCCTCAATAAAAGCCCCCAAAGTAGGATCAACATGAGGGAAATAAGAGTACAAGGCATTCCACCCGTTCTTCAAGCACGTAAGCTAATGTCGTAGACTCATCCATGGGTCACCCAAAATGGGACAAACCCCCTACCTCAATACGAAGATGAAAGCCCTGGTTTAGATGAATCAACTGAATGCAGTGTACCCAAAGTAAAATGGGTGGAAATTCCAGGGTTAAATTAATGTAGCAGGTGCTCAACAACCAAAAGCAATTAATTGTCAAAGTCAAGAATAGTCTTATCAAAGACAGTCCAAATTCATGAAATTGGAGAAAGATAATCGAGTTCTATCGTTCCTTTGGTGCGTCAGTCAAACTTTGTTCGAGCCATTTAGCAGTAGTCTATATTTAATATAATGTGGTTGAGATTTTATTTCTAAATTTAGTTTCATATAGCACGATTTGGCGCCTTATGTGACGGGCTAGGACTTTCGGCCAACGCACGAAAGCAATGCCAAAATTAAGTGTTAATATTTTCTATGAGGAAATTACTAGCGGGAAGCTATGGCTCTTTATAACTACAATGCCTGTTCCAAATACCCTTGCCCATTACACGTGATCTGATAGGACTCCCGTATAGTGAGAAAATTTACAAACTCGCTTGAGCCTTCAAGATAAGGATGGGCCCTTGTTAGATCCTTAGGGTCAGTTAAGTGAGTGAGTTGTTAGAAATTGTCAAGGATTTCTAGGAGGAAATATCTCGAAGAACAAGTGTACAATTTCGGACAAGAATTTATTGATAGTAGTATGTGATATCGAACTCTCTTCTCAATATGAATTAATAATAAATAATACTCCGTTAACTCAGATTAACCTATGCAAATAAGTCAATCATTAAATACAGATTCCCGAGGCTTTAGTGATCCCGAACTCTCAGTGATCTAGCTACAACCAGCCACTCAATTACCGCATGGTATCATTTCCTAGCCACTGCATTTCAGATACTGCTGTACCTCGTTTCCCCTAGCTGAGCTTAATCGTATGCAATAGAAATAGGTAAATTGATCTTGATGATCAAACTAGAAATCTAAACCTTCATACATACGAAGTCTAGATTTCGAACATGAGTGAGTGAGTGTTTATTGTCCTAAAAAGTCTATAACTATGTAAGGTCATGTAGCTCCTTTCTGCCTACAGGCCGGGAGTATCTATGCCTCGGGTAGTGTACTCCCTCCTTTGCCTCCTTCACTGTTACAGGCTGTAGCCTTGTATGTGGACCCGGAACTATCCGGCTCCGTCTATGAACAAAAGCGCGCTTGTGTCACGGGACAACGCGCTCGATTGGAACAAAACATCTTGTGCGCGCGTGGTAAATATTCTACTCTTTAGATAAAATATAAATTCATTTTTGGACCCATAATTGTGAACAACAAATGTGAAGTCCCTTCACACTCACGACTTCTTTCCAGCAGTAGTACCCCCACAGGTCTTCATTCGAGTACACACTAAGAGGAGCCGTTATCCCGTCATTATCTCCCCCCTCCAGCCAACGAAACGATGGCCATTTGCGGGTGTGTAGCTGTAGAGAAAAGTCTCAAAAACCACTGGGTGCGGATTTCTCCTATGACGAAGAGGCCGGCGAGCCGGGCGCAGCAGACCTGTGTATACCTAAGAGCGTCTCTCAACCTTCCTAGCCTCCTCCTTACTCCTCTCCTGATTCATGTCGCAGGATAAACCGAAGGTCGTGAAAGGACGTCAGAAAATTCTTGGTCGAGAGTGACTGTCGAAAAGGGGCCTTGCCTAGCATCCAAAAGTAGTTATGGACGTGGGGTCGTCGGGTAACTCATGCATTTCAGATGCCTTCCTGGCTAGTAGATTCGGGGGTATAGATTAGTGGGGACGATACTGTAGACGAGTCGAAATCTGCTTTTCTTGAGGGCGGAAGGGTCTTTTACTTTGCTTTCGTGGGCTTTTTGTTCGCCCGCCGGTGGGTGGCACATGTTGTGATATAACGACGGCTTCTCTGACTACCGTTGTAGCGTTTGGTACCTGTAAGGATTCTCCTTCCCATCCTATCTTTAGTATATAATTTTACCCTTCTCCTGATGTTGCTATGACAACAGAACAGTTCTTGGCATTGGTTATTATGTTGGCACTAGTTTAGGGCCTATGTTATGATGAGCTAGTGGGAGGAAAGCAAGTATATGTAGGATGGCTTGGCCTGTAGCTATAGAGTTCTTCACGCTTAGTCTTCTGTCATAACCACCACCTTCGGATCACCTCTGGTCACCTATAGTCGCCTCTAGTTACCTTTAGCACCTTTAGTCACCATTAGTATTTGCTCGTACCTTTAGACTCTTTAGACACTTATATTACCCATTTTTAAACCTTTAGTTCTCCAAATTATCTCCAGTAGATCTTTAGTCATCTCTCGCGATCCATCCGACCCCTTCTTGCCATTCTATTCCGCCTCAGGTCAAACGCCTACGCTCCAATTTGACAGTACCGCATTATCTCTCCTCATTCCCAGCATCATTATCGTCGTCTTTGTCGTCTTATGTGTTACCGGAAGCGTATCTCTGACGGAGGGGGAGATAACTTAGCTCAAAGTTGATAAGGTGTTACTCAATCTCGGCTCTGCAGACTTTACAGTGAGAGCTGAAGGTTCGTAGGGGACACCACTGACAGGTGTTGAGAATAGTCCCCCTAGGGTCAATTGAAAATGTAAAGTAGAGTCTATCGGTGAAAGTCTGTCTGTCCCAGTCTAAAAATTAACTACTGTATATACATATGCCTCCTGAGAATATCTACGTGTGATGATGAAATGCATGAGCGTCTCCACATAGTGTATCAGGACTGACACTTTCTAGAAACATCGTGATTCTGCTCGAGACTTCCCTTCAAACACCCGAGGAAATACCCCAACCCAAAACAGCTCTCGTTGATGCGCTACGACTCATCATTCGTCGTAGTTTGATCAAAACTATACCATTCATACAATTCCATGTTTGACAGCCCTATAGCCTTAAACAGCCCAACCAGAACCCAGCCGGGCCTTGCCCGTAATATCACCCCTTTTCAACGTGCTTTTGTTCTTTTTTTTCCTTGCGTGGCTTATGTCGACCCTGCCTTGCCCCTTCATCTTCTCCGACTCCGTCTCCAGTTCCGTACTTGGCTTCAAACTCATCTAGGGCTTTTACGTTTTCGAGTTCCAAGCGATCCTCCCAGTTTGGTTCTGCAAACCCCTTGCATTTGATCAACAGTCGCCTTTTCCAGCCTCGACCACGCTGAATACGTTCTGCCCGTAAAATTCGCTCAGCAGTTTGTTCGGGTTGCGCACCGAACTCTTCAGAATGCACAGCTGTCGGCTGTGAGTAGTATTGCATCTGTGATGGCAACGGGTCTTCTCCTGCTTTGCGCAATAACTCAACGTAGAATCGAGGCCATATTTTTGTGGGTACGTACAGTTCCACTACAGTGGGAGATATTACTCTCGTAATCGAGTATTTCGCATTCACCCATGCCAGCTTTTTCTTTGGTTGTGGAGTTTGGACGTTTCTTAGGTTGAGCCACACTTTATCTCCTACGTGGAAAACAGGTGCTGGGTTTCTCTTTTTGTTCGATTGCTCTTCCAAAATCTGTTGGGCTGCCACCATTGCAGACGCTGCGTACTCTTGAGCTTCCGCCATTCTTGCTATGAACCTTTCCGCTCGTTTTGCCGGAGCCGATTGTATCTGCTCGCCAGATACTTGCTGTACAGGTTCTGCGTGGTAGCCATGCTCGAGGAAGAATGGGCTTAATCCTGTGCTTGAGTTCTCTCGATTATTTATAGCCAGTTGTGCAGATGGTAGCATCGATGCCCATTCTAGTTGTGCGAAGGAAACGAACGCTCGCATATATGATAGGACTTGGTTCATTCTTTCAGTAGCGCCATCTGTTTCAGGATGGAAAGCGTTCGAGAGTCGCTGCTCGATTTTTGCAAGCTTACAGAGGTGTTTCCAGAAATCACCCACCCAATTGGATCCTCTATATGACGTAAGCGCTCGGGGAAATCCATGGAAACGATAGTGACATTGCAAAAAACGTTCTGCACATTCCTCTGCGTTCATATTCTGCATGGCTTCGAGGGTAACGCACTTTAGGAGGCAATCTGTAATTACCATCAGGTATTTAGATTCTCCCTTATCCTTTGCCGGCAGGTCAGTCATGAAGTCTATTGAAAGTTCGCTATGAAATCTATCCGGGACTGGTAGGAGGAGTAACAACCCTTGTCTTTTAGATCTCCGCACGTGTGAACGACCACGTACATCGCAGTTTCTGCAGAACTTTCGGACCATTAAACTCATGTTTGGACAATAAAAAGAGCGCGAAAGTATAGCGATTGTGCTGTTTCGCCCAGGGTGACCTGTGAGGTATAAGTCGTGTGTTTTCTGGATTAATACCGTCCTCAAAGGCTCCCAGTCCGGAATCCATAGTCGTTTTCGGAAACATAGTGCACCTCGGATATCTAATTCGCACTCCGAACGTGAAACCTTAAGTTGCAAGGATGTAGGGAATTGGTCAACATTTTTCCATAAGGTTTGATATATTTGCGTGAAAGTAGTTTCATCTTGCTTCACCCCTCTATCACAGAGCTCTTGCAACTCCTTTTCTTCAAATAAATAACTTCCGTTTGGTATCTGATCTTCAACTGATGTCACCATTAGAGCTTGCTCGTTCTTTCTTTCGTTCGGTAACCACGGTTCCTTTGGTAACGTAAACTCCCTCTCTTTCAGACGTGGATCTTCGGTTGACTTGGGCACATCTTGAAGCCTACGTGACAATGAGTCAGGTCGCTCACTTTGCTTTCCCGCTCGAAAATTTAGCCTGGAATTAAACTGGGACAAAAGTTGTGACCATCTTACTTGGCGCTCGGACAGCTTTCGAGTAGTCATGAAATACTTTAGGTTTTTATGATCTGTAAGTATGATGAAAGGGTCCTTCAGAACTAATAGCTCAATCCTCCAGTCATTAAGGCACCTTATGATGGAAAGCAGCTCTTTGTCGTGAATATCGTAATTAAATTCTGTAGGCAACAGTTTATTTGAGTAGTAGGCTACTGGTTGCAATTTTCCTGGGGTCTTAAATTGGGAAAGGCATCCTCCGGTTGCCCATCCAGATGCATCTGTCTTCAAGACGGTCTCATGATCCCCATCCCACATTGCCAGTATTGGGGCTGTGATAAGTTTTGACATGAGTATGTCAA